TCTTTATTACTAGAGAGAATAATTACAGCAATTCTCTATTTTCATATTATAAAGATAAGTTATTCTCATTTCTTTCTTCTCTTTTTTCTCTTCTTCTTCAACTCATCACTAAGTTCAAGCTGATATGAAAACTATTAAAACACTCTTAGAAATCCTCAAATTGAAGAGTATAGACTAATCAAATTTTAAATACAGAAGAATTAAATTATATTCAATATTACTAATTATTCATCTTCTCTCAATAAAATCACAGTTGTGTCTTTCTCTTCCCTCTCTCAAACAAAACATGGTCTGTGAAAAGCAAGTATCACATCAGACTATAATGACTAACACAGCCCCAGCACACAGAGCTGTATATACACAGCACATGCTGAACTGAGAGACTGTGTGAGTTACAAATCAGTATCAGTATCTCAGAGAGAGCTGTGCAGTGTGAAAAAGCTGCAACTCTCAGTCATATGTGTAGAGAATGAATTATCACAGTAAGTGCATGTGTATTGCATGAAAGTAATACTTTTTGATAATACTCAGTCTCTGATATCATGAAAATAGAGTCTCTCTGTGAGATCTGTTTTTATCAGAAGTCAGAGAATCTTATATTTCTCAAGATTATCTTTACTTATCTTATCTATGAAATTAATGAGAGAAATTATCAATTTCAGTATTCTGTTCTTAATATCATTTAAGTGATAGCAGAGTTCACTCTGATCACACTTTTTAAGTGTATATTTTCTAAATATTCACATTTATACAGATATATACTGATTATTTATTAGATAATATTAAGATAATAACTTATTACAGCTGTGTTATTCTCACTGTGAGAAATACATGATTGATGATGAATATTATAAAGACTCTGAGAAGTGAGTATTTTAAGAGTACTGCAGCTCTGTGATCTTGATTTTTTTTATTTTTATTTTTTATTTTTTTCTTTTTCTTTTCTTTTTTTTTTTTCTTTCTCTTTTTTTTTTTTTTTTGTTCATTCTGATTTTTTCTTGTTTTTATTTTGTTTTTTGTTTTTTGTTTTTTTTTTGTATTTTATATTTTTTTTATAATTAAAATTATATGAATTATAATCTGTGTTTAGAAAAGTAATGATATTTAATAACACTCTCTATTAAATTTTCAATAAATGAGTACTATGTTATGATATTATATAAGTGAGAAGTGATTTCATAATCTCATTTAATATCATTCTCAATAATGAGATCAGAATGAAAATATAACTAAGAATTCAAATATATTCTTTATTCAGAACTAGATTTTTATTTGAAAAGTGAATCTAAGATCTTTAATATTTGAAATAACATGATTTGAGATCAATGTAATAAACACAAACCATGATCAGAAGTAATGCTTTTAGACAACATAATAACTGTAAAGTTTGATTCTGGTTTCAGACACAGTCACACGGTCAGTCTAATCAAGACCTTACTGTGATTTCACATAGTTTATTACTTTTATATAGATGATTTCATTCATTCTGCAGACTATTTAAACCAGTTTTCAATGACTCTATGACATTATTCAGATATATTATAGAAAGATCTGATTGATGAATATAAGAACTCTGCTTCTATACAAGATCAGCAGATTACTCTTTCTTAATAGTAAGATACTGCTGAGATATTACTCTGACTATTCTTACTCATAAAATAAGAGAAGAGTATTCACTCATTATCTATATAAAATAGCTAGATACTGGCTTCTTATTAAAGAAGTCAGTGATTTGTTTTTCTTCTACTGAAATATATACAAAGAGTTACTGCATATCTTATACAATCTTCTTAGTATACTAAGTATTATATCTGTGATATTCTTGTAATAATTCTGTAGTCTACAAGCTCACTATTTAAGCAAGATAGTTAAGCTTACTTATACAGCTTCTCAAACAATTACTTCTACATAATGCTACTGACTAGTCACTGCTTCAGTTCTGCCATGTTACAATATTAAAGTTATTAAGTTATATGCATATCTACTATCTATTACTGTTATAATTTCAACATTATTTAAAGCTACTGTAGTATTACTTCTATACTCATATTTAAGAGTTCTCTTATATTATTATTAAATATGATTATATCATTTTATCAGATATATAATATGTGTGAAATCTGAAGAAGTGTAATTATATGAATATCTTATATATCTGAGTGTTAGAACTCTTAAGTCTTTCACTGATATTCTTTTATAAAATCTTACTCTCTTTATAAAATCTTGTTACAGAGTCAGAGTGACTGATAAGTAAGCTTCTATTTAAAGACTTAGTGTTCACTTAACTATTTAACTGTTTCTCTATTTCTTATACATTGTTATATATTCAGATATCTCTTAATAAATAATCATTTCTAATGAGAAGATGATGTATGAATAATTATTTCTAATAAGAAGATGATAAATGTTATTCTAGTGTAAGAAGCCTACACTGAATAGATCAGTATAATATTATAGGTCTTATATAACAAAGAGAATAATGTTAGAGAAGAAAAGAAAGAGAAAGTGTGAGAATCAGTGATCAAGGTGGATATTTATACGCGTACGCGGTGGTGTACGCGGTGGAGCTTCGGGGCGGAAGAATAGGAATTCCGTAGGTTTTCGGCCGAGGATCGGCGACCGAGAGTCGGAATGTTAGGAATCTGTGGAGTGTAACGGAATAGTCTGTATGATTGATCGGGCGCAGCCCGCCACACAGCAGGATTCACATCAAGAAATGTATGAGACCAGATTAAATGAGATCAAATGTGAAATTCATGTTCCCGCCGGCCAGTCTAATCTTGTACATGTATAAATATCTGCTCTTACTGAGATTCTTGCATCTTTTCTCTTCCTTCTCTAATGTTTTCTATTTTGTTATATAAGTTCTATATGATATATCCAATACCGATCTTTTCGGCGTAGGCCTGTTACAGAAGATAAGGAATAATCAACAGCTGAATATTCAGTATAAAATACAGTGTGAATTTCCGCCAAGATTTGTGGCACTGTCCAGCTGTCTTTCTGCTGGTGCAATTCTTTTGATAGCGCCCTTCATACTGTGTAATAGCATCAATCAATTTGGTAATGAGACTATCAAATATTTTGGTCCTAGTTCCAGACATAGTCACACGGCCAGTCTAGTCACTTTTCACGTTTTTTTGATGACTACAGAATAGTACAGATCAAAGGGGACCAAATGTGAAATTCATGGTCCCGCCAGCCAGTCTACCTGAGGCTAAATTTTTATTTGAAATGTGAATCTAAGATCTTCAATATTTGCAATAAAGTGGTTTGAGATCAATGTGATTGTGCACATACAGTGATCAGAACTACGCTGTAATGCTTTTAGGCAATGTGACTACTATACGTTTGATCCTGGTCTCAGACACGGTCACACGGCCATTCTAGAAAAGAGAATTATTCTTCTTGGCTTCAGAGTCTATTTTGAAACAGTAGGCATTTTGTATGTATGGCCGTGTATACTCTAAGCTTATAAAAAAATAACGCCTCTTGGCTGGGTGTAAATATGGCTCTCCGGGTGTATACAGATCCTTGGATGGATGCACGGGGGCTAGCTACTTTAGGTTGCTATTCCTTTTTTCTTAGGTTCTTTTTGATACGGGGCCTTTCGTTCCACGTAGCGAGGGGTGATCGTCGGGTTGGCTTGGTTTTCTGGGCGATTTTTCTTGGGGGGTGGTTTGGGTAGGGGGATTTTGAGAACGCTCAGACAAAGATAGGAGGTAGTTTAGTTACGTATGTCGAAGTAGGGGTTGCTGGGTGGTATTTTGACCCTGGTGTTTGCGGGGGTTTTCTTGGAGAGAATCTGGCATCAAATGTACTACGTATGTAGAGGTATATAATTCGAAGCAACTGCATATGTAGAAATGTCAGCTCTATATAAAGAAAGGCGTAACTTGGAGGTAGACCAAAGACAATAATACCTGTTGCACGAAAACAGATCATCTGCACATGCCATGTCCTCCGCCGTGCCATCGCCATTCATTCATATTCTTCCATTACCGCTGCTATCCATGATGCTACATACATATGTACGCTCGCCCTTCCATTATGGCAAGCAAGCATTGCATGGAGTATGAGTTCCCTGCCGACAATCTTTCGCTGTGCCCCCGCCGAGCCTGCCGCCAACTGCCGCTCTACAGCACATGGGGTTGGGTCTGGCCAATCAGCAGGCAGCTCCAGCAGTATTGGCATCTGATTGGCCGGAGCTGGGGTTCATGAAACAGGGACCTTGAAATTTTTGACCAATCGGGGCTACTTGATGGGGCCAATGTATCCATGGATCCTATCGGGGCTAATAGCTCGTCTTGGCATGGCTTGGCATGTCACTCCGCAGGCTCCACTCTCCTCTCCTCTCCTCTCCTCTCCTCTCCTCTTTCCTCGTTCCTCTCCACTTCTGTTCCTGTTCTGCAACTCCTCTCCAACTCCTCAATAATTCTTCTCTTCCTGTCTCTCGTTTTGGCACTTTTCGGTTTTTTGTCTTTCTTTCTGTCTTTGTCCTGTTCCATTCCTCATTCTACTTACCACTCGATTTCTTTAATTAATATTTTATTTCTTGGTTCCGGCCTCTTCCATCTTGACTCACCCCCTCTCCAAGAGACAGTATATCGACTTATTCCTAATCTATTCAATACTGTTCCCGACACTAATGCCCCCCCGCACATTC